CTTGTTGAACTGTTAATGTTTCTAACACAAAAGGTATTCTTTCTATAGTTTTCCTTGATTACCCCGTTAAACCAGGTTCTCGCTGTACCTTTTTCCTTGGAGTCAGTTGCATTTAAACTAAGTTTCATAGGTCTCACAGCAGCCACCACTTTTGTAATAAATGCCTTACTCCAATATTTCTATTTAAGTGTATATTTATTGACACTGTCAAACTATATCCTCTCTAACAAACCTTGGTAGATCTAAGTATGTATTTATTGACACACAAACACTATCTCCTCTACCGAACACTGGTAGGTATTAGTGTGTATCTATCCACACACAAAGCTATCAAACTCTAGCCTCTCTACCCAACAATGGTAGGTCTAAGTATGCATTTATAGACACACAAAGATATCAGACTCTATACTCTAGGGTTTCCATTCGCAAAACTTTTGCGCAATTTGTTGCGGAACGAAATGCAATATTTTTCTTTCTTTGCGCATCAATTTTGCGCGAAAAAACTACAATTTAGCAATCATTCGCAAAAGTCATTTCGCGAAAAATTGCCCTATTCCGCTTTTGCGAAACTCAAGTTTTGCGCAATTCCGCAACTAGAGTTTTGCGCAAATCCGCAATTCCGCAATTTCGTAAAAATCAAACGGTTGGTGACGGTGTGTGTTTCTTAGAATTCAATTCTGGAAAAATCTTGTTTTGGAATGTCTTCCTATTGGTCACTTTTACATAATTGACCAATGACAATTAAGAAGAGTTCAAATCTCACAATTTTCTCGACAATTTTAGTTTTGGACATGCATATTTCCTTAAAGTTGATTCTTCAGGCATTGGTTACTTTCTTGCATTATTTTATATGAGATTAAAAAGATTTCAGAAATTTGATTAAAAAAATTTAAGAATCCAATTTATATTTGATCAAGCAAAGCTTTTAAATTATTTAATAGATTAAAATATTGCCAAGTTTCACACTCTCTAACTTCTATTTTATTAATTTTGGTCCCTTAATTTAAACTTTTTGTAACTGGAAGTAACCAATTAAGTGTAGTATAATCGTTATCATACTCGTATGTTAAAATTTTTTTTTGTAAATGGAATAAATCTTCAGTTGTTTAATTCTAAGCTTAGAATATCAATTTTTGGCAATGTGCCTAAAAAGTTACATTTTGCGTAAAAATTGCGGTTTTGCGCAAATTGCGCAAAAAAATTGCGCAAAACTAAAATTTCGTTTCATGCGTAACTTTCGCAAAAAATATTTCCAGTTTTGCGAAAATTGCGCAAAATAAATAGCGCAAAACCGCGCAAAACTCATTGCGTTTCATGCGCAAAAATAGCGCAAAAGTTCGCAAAAATAAAATTTGCTATACAACTATCATATTTTATCATTTTTTTGCACACAAATTTTACTATATACCTGGATTTTGCAACTAAAAAATTCAAAAAGTCTTATTTGGACAAACACAAAATATAATGGGAGCCTATCCTGGTTTTCAAGTACCCCAGCATGGATAGTGTTAAGATAGCGCCCATAAACTTTTGTTATTGAAGCTACAGATCTAAAATTACATTTTTGAACAATCCTTGAGAAATGGATTTAAAATTAAGTGCCTTTATAGGGTTAGTAAAGTGTTTAAAACTGCACTTTTTTTAATACCGGTTTTTTAGGGGGGTGAAAAAAGGACGCTAGTGAACCCCCCAAGAAAAGTTCACCCCCTAGGCTAAACCTCCACTATGCCCCTGGTGAGTCTCCAAGGAAAGCATGTTATCTTCCAGTGCTTAGGATCCATTTAATTTTGATGCGGATCCAGATTTTTAACTGATTTTTTTTAACAAAAAATAATTAAATTTTTTTTTTCGCTTATTTTTATCCTAAAACTTGATGAACCATTCAGAAATGAGGAAATTTTTATAATCACTCTTTTTTTCAAAAGTTTAGATTTGGGTTTTAGGAGTGAACAAGTTTTTTTTCCAGTTTTTGGTTGATTTTTTACCCTTGGATCCGGATCCGTGGATCTGCATATTTTTGCGGATCCGGATCTTGATCCAGGAAGCCAAAATCTTGCGGATTCAACCGATCCTGATCCACGGATGTTCAAACGGATTCGAAGGGTTTACAACAAAATTTTCAATCAACTCGAAATTCGCGAAATTTTCACAAAAATGACGAAATCCAATTTAGTGTCGATCCTTGAATGTAATATATGTATGTAGTACGACAGGTTTCATTTCATGGCATGCTAGAGCCGGCCTTTAATGTTCATTAAATATATATACAGACGTATCTTCTATAGGTTTATAGCATTTGCAAATAATGTTGATCTACGAATACAGACTGTTCAACTTGATATGACTACGTATAAAAAGATGACTGAGTGAATTTTGTGTAAAACATCCTTCTGAGGTTCTGAACAGTTTCATACTTTAGTTTTATTTAAACTATTCTGTAGCGACTGCACGATAGGGGATGTTAAATTTGCATTGTTACAGGGGTATTGTGGAAGCAAAGGACTGGATTTCTTGGTTAAACAAATTTCACCAGTCTTGATAAACAACAAAAAACTTCTAAAAATACCATTACGCTGATCTTAAATTACATTACTTTGTCTTCAATAATGAGTAAATTAGTAACAGTCAGAAAGAAATCATCATTTTTTAATCTTGCAACAAAGGATGATTTTCAAATCCCTTTATCTTTGGAACTCAACGTCAAAGAATTTAGATGTTTCAAAATATGAATTTTGTCAGATCAAACAATCTAAGTGTGAAATATCAGAGGTAAATCCCATCAAGTTTTAAAGATATAGGAATTAGAAAATTCCATTGATTGATGCTGGAAAGGAATTGAGTCTTTTCCACAAACTCGAATTTTTAAACCTCAATATCATTTTAAGCTAATAGCGTAATCCTTTTATATTTCAAACTTAGACTATTTGATCTAACAGAATGCATAGTTTGAAATATCTAAGATCTACGACATTTGGTTGAGAAGATATAAAAATTAGAAAGTAAGATTTTGTTGCCAAGAATCATTTCCTTTGTCGACAGTTCCTTACTTCAATATTTAAAGTTTCACTTGGATAAGTTGGTAAACACAAATTAACACGATACATTTTTCATTTGTCACATTAGATGAAAATTTTACTTTTTTTAGTTGAAATTAAAATTTTATTTTAAGTGAAATGAGACGTTTCGCTAAATGTATAATAGTTAGAAAAAAAAAGGAAATAATCTTTAAAAAATTGAAACACAATCAAACGCACGTACAAAGAAGTTGAACGGAATTGGGCGCAAGTAAAATCCAGTTGCGTTGATCCTTGGACGCATAGGATTTAGCGGAGATATTTTTATGTCCGATATTAACTCAAGAACCCGTGGACTGATTTTTATCAAAGGAGTTGAGTCTTTGCCGCAAACTATGATTTCACAATCTCTATATCTTTGCAACCCTATGTCGTAGACCTTAGACATTTCAAACTATGAATTCTGTTAGATCAAATAATCTAAGTTTGAAATATCAAAGGTTTACACAATTAGGTTTTAAGATATAGGGATAAGAAAATTTGAGTTTGTGTCAAAAACTAATTCCTTTGGGTTGGAGAACATGTAGAACTAAATGTTCTTAGTTTGGTTTTAAAATTCTAAGTTGATGAATTAACTTAATTTCCGGACAGATCTGGGTTCCCAAGCTAGCTATTTATAAAATTGTTTCACAGTTAGTTACAAACAAATTTTGATTGCAATAATTGAGAATTCCATCTCGATAGCTTTAATACAAAATTGTTTTGAAGAATTTAAAATCTTACTCGTATTTTTTTAGCTTATTGTATTGCTAGGTTTTGTTGCATATATAGTATATATAGTATAATATGTAGTATATGTAGTTTAACTGAATAGTTAGAATATCTTTCTTAGCTTCAAAAGTATGTCGTTTCAATGCAACTTTTTTCTGAACACATTTTTCGTTACAGCTTGTTTTTCTTTTACATTTATACCCTTGGTAACAGGAATAAACAATTGTCGCTCCCCATAGCCAAAAAAAACTTTAAAGCGCCCCTTCCCCGTTCCTGAAGACTCTTTGATATCTTAATATAATTTAATTAGTATAGGTTGTATAATGTAAATTACTTCAGATGGATGTATATAAGATGCATATTGTAATGTACTTTTAATATATTAACAATATACATAAATACGTTGTGTGTTTAAAGTGTCCTGGAAAATAAATCAATGCTAACAGGACTAACAGCCTCCTTTCTTGCTCAGTAAATGCTTGTATCTGATTGGACCATGCTGATGAAAGGCAGGACTCTGATTGGTTATAGTCTTGGCATTGGTTGGTTGTGATTGGTTTGCGGACTCTAGGCGTAGTGGTTAGCAATCTCAATCCTCTTTCTTTAGAAACAATAAAAGAATTTGATATTTTGACAAAAATAAAGTTTGATTCTTTTTAGCAGGAAAAAAATCTCTGGAATAGTATCTGTAAGGTCAAACTGAATCTTAAAATACATTGATCGGTCCGAGGATAGAAATAGAATGAAGCCTACCTCCAGCTAGAGACCGGCTAGGAATGTTAGGCAAACACAAATTCGGACAATTTATTGCTAAATATTTACAATTGGCATATTTTTTTAAAACTTGAAACATCTTTATCTAACTGTCAAATGTATTAATTAATCTTTGGCCTAAACCTGTAACTGTAAAAAAATAATACTTATAAGCAAAAGCTCTTATAAAGCCAATTGTGTTCATATACTAATAAACGTGTAGAACACAAAGTATTAAACAACGGAACTGAGTTTTTGCCGCAAACTCTGATTTTCTTACCCCTATATTTTTGAACCCCGATGTTATAGAACTTTTAAATTTCAAACTATTAAATTCTCTTACATCAATAAGTCTAAGTTTGAAATATCAAAGGTTTGGGATCAAAGGTTTTAAAGATTTAGGGGTTAGAAGATCGTAGTTTGTGGCAAAAAAACTCAACCCCTTTCTGTTTTGAATAATGTAATAATTTGTTTATTTCCAGCGAATGACAGAAATATGATCAAGATTAGAGGCGGCTGAATTCGCCGATTTAGTTGGATAATACTGAGTAAACCCCGGGAAGGCAAGGGGGCTTAGCAAAAATGCTTCTACTTATCCAGAGTCAACATTACGAGGCGGGACGGGTCGGGGCGGGACGGACGGATAAGCCCGGGTTCTCCACTCCGCGCCCCTCCTACCCAGATCCCGGGGCCTACAGAGTCATTTAGCCCAGACTGCTCTGAAGATTAGTCGTGATCCATTTGAAACCTCCTAGATCCTGGGGGCTCAACGTAATAATACTTTTTAAATCGAATCTTAAAAGCGCGTGCTCCCGATCCCAAACATTGAAATACCTGAACCCAGATATCGTGTGTAATTAGTGAACAGTAAGTCTTTCCTAAACTAATCCTAGTCATTATTCTGGGAACCTGGGTTTGTATTGACAAATCCCAGGGATTGGAACTAAATCTTAAAATCCAGGAGAATATCCAGGTAGGAGGTTATACTTACTCTGATATTAAATTTAAAATGAGAGGTTTAAACCGCAGTCTTTCGCCTTTCATAAATACTTACTCACACTTAACTGACATTCTCAAAAAAATATTCAATGATTAGTTTATTTTTGATGCATCGCCACATTTGCCTACATTTTAATTTCTTTTTTTGGTTCTGACTTTATTAAACTATTTAAAGATAAAGTATTTGTCAAAAACTTAAATTTTATAATGCATATATATTTGCAACCTGATGTAAACCATCAGGTTGCATCAGGTTTGATATTTTATACTTTGATTATTTGGTCTAACAGCATTCATAGCTTAAAATATATAGGGTTTACAACGTTGGGTTGCAAAGATATAAGAATTAGAAAATTAGAGTTTGTGACAAAGGGTCAATTACTTTATGTTTCTGTAAATGTTTTAAATTTTCCTTACTTCCTTCATATGAAAAAGTATTTTTAAACTTGATTTTGTTTTATCTTAAGAATGGATATGCTGGGAGTTGGACTTGGTCATACCTCTCTCCATGATCTTGGTTTAGAGGTACATCACCACGAACACCTTCATCCCCACCAACCCCTCCCTCCACACAGGCCCCTTTCCCCGCCTCTTCATCATCCCGTAGACTCATCGTTCTCCCCCTCATCCCACCTACCCTCGTCTACAGTAAAGATAAAACCTGGTAAGTAGATTCATAAACAAACAATTAATTTATGTATTTCTATATTCACACGGTAGTAATATATATACTTCTAATACTGATTTTTGAGGTTAAGCGTTAATAATACCTATGAACTGGGTCGCAGAAAAAATTCGTTTTAATGAAAAGTTTTGTATGAACCAACGAAACATATTTACTACTCTGCAAAAAATGCTATTTTTGCATTCAACGGTAAAATTGCAGTTAAAGTAAACAACATTCATTATAAAGGAAGCAGCTATTATTATAACGCACAAAGTGTGAGAAATATCTAACTATAATTTTTTCACGTTGAATATTATAGATATATCTATTAGAGCAACAGCATTTTTTTGCAGTGTAATTAATGCCTTAATAAATACGAACTATGTCTGCTATCGAGTTATTCCATCAGAAATTATCATAACAAAATCCAAATTTATTTTACCACCAGGAACTATTGTAAAATATATACATTTGATCAGCACACTGAACCGTCAAAATAAGCTATATGTATGTGGTCTAAATGACAAAAAATTATCTTAAACACTATTCTAAACGTAATTAAGAAAAGGTTTTTAAGATTTTAAGATTTTTTGTCTATACATTTAATGATTTTTGTGATAGATCTAATAATTATTAATTGGTGTAATCAATTTAGTATTTTATGTAACGTTAAAATAAGGATGTGTCCTAAATTTTTTAATCGAATTTTCAAACTTAAAATGGAACATAACTGTTTTTTAAGTACTTGGAAAATAGATGTAGAAACATCATGTGTCATTTATACTGCGTACATTTTGCTTTTTTTTAACCTTGATTATTGAAATTAGAGTTAATCACAATTTCCAAAACTGAGCTGATCTACGAATGTTTCGAACTATAACTAAGCCTTTTACATGGGGGGGGGGGCATGTGATTCCCTTTAGGCTTTTGGTACTTATTTTGGGCGCTGGAAGTAAGTTAGGGTTTAAGGTAAACAAGTTGGTATATACTAGGTATGTATTAATTACTTTTTTTTAATTAAACCCTTTTAGAAACATTTAAGGTGTAAGTACGAAAGGGGGGACAAATAGTATTGTAGGAAATCGCCTACAGATATTTTAGATTATAATATGCATACGTATTAAACACCTTACTTTTATAGATTTAAAAATTTAGTTTGGAATCTTTCCTGCTTTCGGAGAGGTGTGTACTCTGGCATATCTTGGAAAAGCAATATTTACAAATACTTATTTTGACTGAAACTCTTGACTAAATGAATTTAGAAACAATTTTCGCTCTCAGAAAGTTTTAGAAAGATATGAGCAATCATCCAAAACAAAACTTTTTATCAAAAATTAAACTTGATTAGGTTTGTAGGATGTTTTAAAAATTTGCAAAAAATCATTTCTGATACCCCGGGCTTAGTGTGACAATATAATTCACCAAAACTATTGAAGGACTTTCAATTAAGCATAAAAGGAAAAATTTTTCTTTTTAATTATCCCAGGGAAAGTTTTAGAATATTCTTTTATTCTTGCAGAAACTCATGACCACAACCTACACCCCTCCCCCTCCCCTCTTCTTAAAATCGTTTCGTGGCGCATAAATATTCGGGCGGGTTGTAAATTAGTCCAATACGTATTTTACAAGGGACGAAGTGTGAGAATGAGTATAGAGTGAGGGATGAGGGGGGGAAGGTGTAGATAAGAAGCCGCCAAATGTTAATGCCGCCAACGGTGAAGGGAGAGCAAACTCCGCTCTCTTTCCTGTTACAAAGTTTATAAACGTCACGCAGCACTAGCAATAGCATTCTATAATATCCTATTCAATATGCAATATCTAGGCTATTCAATATTCATTAATCCGTCTGTCTGTAAGTAGTTTGTTTGTTTCTGTCCATTAAATGATAAATTTCTAAACCCACCGTGGTCATACAAGCTCTCATACAAAAATCTATTAGAGAATGTTAACCATTGCTTCTGAAAAACTAAAGCTAAACACAAGTGCCTGAAAGTTTTAAAAAAATAATTAAAGACCAAGGCATTCTTTTCATTCCATTAATAAACATTTACTCCAAATACTTCGGGCAAATACTTTGGGTCTAACTTTGATCACATTTTGATAGAAAAAAATGTCATAATTTAATATTTTTAAAAATGCACCCGTTTAAACAGAAAAATCTGCAAACTTTTTTATTGTAGTACAATGCGAAAATTGGTATTTGAAAAACAACAATTAAAAGCTATAATTATTACTAAAAAGGGGCGGGTTTGCACTTGAGGCATTGTAAAATAAAAATTCCGCCAGAATTAGTTTTTTTTTTTTTATTGGAGAACGAGAAATAAAGGAATTGAGTCTTTAGCACAAACACTGATTTTCTAATCTTAATATGATAATATCTTTAAACCCAACGGCGTAGACCTTAGATATTTCAAACTAGGAACTCTGTAAGATCAATTAAATAGCCCAAGTTAAAAATATCAAAGGTGTATAACATTTCATATAACTTTAATATAACTTTTGAGTTTGTGGCAAAGGTTCATTTCCTATGTTTAGCTAGATGCAAAAAATGAAACAATCCTAAATCCATGCATCAATTATAGTATCTAATATTTACTAGTTTTCTTTTTTATTAATGTAATGCTTACGTCTTCTAGTTTGACAAAATCTAAAATAATAATTACTTAAACTGGAGATTTACATCTTGACTAATTTGTTTAAAAGCACATCTGCTGAGCGCTAAACTTTAATAGTTTTAAGTATTAATTGTTGGAACTGGGTTGGAATTTATAGCAATATAATCTCATCCCTCCCCCTTCCCCTTCTCTTCTGCTGGCTCCCATCCCCTGCTCGTCTCTGATTGTATCTAATTATAACAATAACTAGTTTGGGACTCTCACTCCTCTCACCCGTCTTGCTCAAACTCAAGTAATAAAACGATGAAAGAAAACTATGGTCACGAGTTAATTTCGTTTTTACACGGCTTTTAGTTTTATACTCCTATAAACATAAGTTTTCGCGAATCTTTCTGTTTAAATAGGTGGATTTCCAAGATCGTATTTGCCGGCATTATTTTCCATCTGCAGGACCATTCAGAAACTTTTTCTATAGGCATGGGAGTTGATCACTCTCCGCCACTTTAACCTGATTTCGCGGATTTTCAAAATTTTTAAAAATTTAATGACGATCGAATTTTGATAGAGACAAATATTTGAAATTTTGATTTTTCATAAACCTTCCCTGGGTCCCTAGATGTCCCACAAAAAATTTGGGCCCGATCGGTTCAGCCGTTTATTAGATACAACCAAACAAACAGACAACCAAAAATAGGGTAAGAGCAAGAGACAATTTCTCTATAAACTTTTATATTTAAATTTAAACTTTTAAATTCAAATTTAAAAGAAACTAAATGGAGTATTTTGACGGAGCATACTTAATTCTACAATGCAAAGATTTTCTTCTACTGCAATGCATATCTCGTTTTCTTCAAAATGTTAATATTTTACAACCTTTATTCATATTTCATAATTAATGATACCTAAAGGTATTGTAATTTTTCCGGAAACCAGGATATTTTCGTCCGACTCTTGCAGTAGTATCGATGGTTGGTGGTCGCAGGTGCTTCTTAGGAGGGTCCTGTAAACTTGTAAATTGTATTATTATGGTTGTAAATCATCAGCAATCATCCACAATCATCGACATAAATTTAGAATGACAAAAATAAGGGTTGGAAACCTTGGTTATTTTAGAAATATAATTTTGAAAGCAAAGCAGTATATTTGGGGTTAAACCCCCCCCCCTAGAATCTTGGGGACATAAACATCCCCGTTTAGAAACTTTTTCCCATTTCCATTATCCATGTCCATAATTACCATTAAGAGGAAAAATGAATTTTTTTGCCGCTTCGCGCAGATAATCTTACAGGCAACATTACCAAAGTAAAATAGATAAATTTACCAAAAATCGATTTTTTATTTCAGTAGCACTATATGTCAAATTAGGTATATTAGGTATATATATATAATATATGCACAATGGTTGAAATAAATCCAGTTTTTTTTACAGTATAAATGTAGTCAATGTAATTAGTAAATATATATCAAAGGTGTACACTATAAATTGAGACTTTAGAAAAAACGCTCTCACTCATCAGTTTTAAATTTACGTTGGGTGATTGGATTTTGACTTAGGACAAATTTCATGAGAAACACTGGCTCCAAAAGCAGTCTCTGTGCATGTATAAAAATATTTTTTCCAATTATAATTAATTATAATTGGCACAGTAGTTTTTTATGCAGAACCTACCAAAAAGCATTTTCATCCTCTCCTCTTTCATGCCCTTAATCTTCTTTCATTATGATGAATAAATATTTTGCTTGTCTGTTTGTTTGTTTGTATCCAATAAACGTCAAAACAGCTGAACCGATCGGGTCCAAATTTTTGTGGGACCTCATGTGACCCCAGGGTATGTATGATTGAATTTTCAAAAATTTGCTACTAGCAATATTCGATCTTTAAAAATTTAGAAAATCCACGAAATCTTTTATAAAATCCGCGAATTTTAGTCTTTTGTTTTACAATGCATTCAAAGAGAAAATGTTAACAATTGAAATAGAAGACGGGCGCAAAGCGCCTTAAAAGCTAGTGATGAATTTTCATCAAAACAATGCAAGCAACTAAGTTCCCAGGACACAGGTGGCTGATCATCGCGGATTTTTCATTTTAATGGATTTGCTATTTTATAAGATGTTCAAAAAGTCTCAATTTATAGTGGACAACCTTTAATGTATAAAATAAGTCAGGTGAAAGCAGAAAAGGTGGTAAAGGAAGTTTTTTATTTTATAGAGTTGGTTAATCCCAGAAATGATTGGGAAATAGAAATGAAACCCAGCTAAAACCCATAATTTGATATACATCATGAATGTGGTAGTACATGGTTGTAAAACTATAGGAGGGCGACGTTGATTGATTTACTGTACGTCGGTTGATAAATAGATAGGTAGGCTTGATTGACTGTA